TCCGGCAGGCCTTCTCCTCCTTAGGCTTGCCTCTGGGCATTTTGTATAAAGGGAGCTCTTTCGAGTGGACCTTGCTTTAGTACAGTGAGCCTCATCCATATTTTATGGTATTTATTTCAGTTTGATTACCCCATGCAAATATATTACATTACATTGTCCATTTGTCAATTGATGAGCATTTGAATTCATGCCAGTTCTTGATTGGTATGAATATTGTTCCCATAAACATTTTAATTCAAGTCCTGAGGCTATATGTTGCCATTTGGTGGGGGATCTATGCCTAGGGACAGAATTGCTGGAATATACACTAAATATATGCTGAGCTCCATAAAGGACTGCCAAACTGTCTCCCAAAGTGGCTGCGCCATTTGCTTTCTGTCAGCAGTGTAGAAGGCCCTTGTGTGGTTCTGGCCATTTCCTGAGGTTCCCACTGGCATTCCATCATGAACAATGAGCCTCAACATCTTTGCATGTGCTCATTGGCCGTTTAGAGATTTTCTTCAGTAAAATGGCTATTTAATCTCTCTCTCTCTCTCTCTCTCTCTCTTTATCTCTCTCTCCCTTCCATCCCCTCATCTCCCTCCTTCTGGCTTCCTTGTCAGAAGTTCCAGAAGGTTGGTATTGTATCTGCATGCTTGGTATAAGGTGGGGGGGGTCAGTCAGTGGCTTGTTTCCATGTGTCCTCTTGGGGAGAGGTCTTCAGAAGCAGCTTCCCAGCAGGCAGATATCTGGATGGAGCCCATTAGAAAGACTGGAGGATGGGTGGGTGTGGAGACTGCTTCCTAATAGTAGTGTTCCACTTACACTCAAGATGATTGGAGGCTCCAGTGTGGTGGTGAACATCTGTAATCCCATCCTCAGGAGGTGGAGGCAGGGACTGTGAGCTTGAGGCCAGCCTGGGCCTGTCTCACAGAAGAGAGAGAGGGGAAGGCACCAGAGCATCATAAAATAATGAGAATTCATTGTATCTGAGAACCACCCTGGCAGATCTTCCTTAAGAAAGTGAATTGGGCGGCTCTTCCTTAAGGAAGTGAATTGGAGCACTCGGGAGGCAGAGGCAGGCGGATCTCTGTGAGTTTGAGGCCGGGCTGGACCAATAGCCTCCAAAACAATACAGAGAAACCCTGTCTCGTAAAAACCAAAAAGAAAAAAAAAGAAAGAAAGAAAGTGAATTGGGGGATCTTCCTTAAGAAAGTGAATTGGGCTGTTTTTGCCAAGGCGAGGAAGATCTTCAAGTACAAAAGGTAGGAACATGTATAAACATATGTTCAGTTCACTATTTACCATTTTATGTGGCAACAAAAATCTCAATACTTCAACAATTTCTTATTTTGCTTGGCACCAATAAAATCCAACACTTCTCTGACTATTAAAGGCAAATAAAATCAGGAAAATATGTTGCTCAACAGATTCCACAGCCTCAGCCCTCTGTTTCTGGTCCAATGACTTTCTTGGGCTGTCTCCACCCAATAATACTTGCACATTTTTGCATGGTTTACTTTTCTATTCTGCAATCTATTTTCTTTTGTCTCTATAGGGTCCTTTCTCCTTGGTAACTATGGCTATTCAAAAACAGTAATCAAGGCTGGGTTGTAGTTTCGTGGTAGAGAACTTGCCTAGCACGCCTGAGATCTTGTGTACCATTCCCACAACACACACACACACACACACACACACAGAGAGAGAGAGAGAGAGAGAGAGAGAGAGAGAGAGAGAGAGGGAGGGAGGGAGAGAAGAGAGAGAAGAGGGAGAGAAGGGAATCGAGAGAGGGGAGAGACAGAGAGAGAGAGAGGAGAGAGAGGAGAGCGAGACAGAGAGAGAGATTGAGAGAAAGACAGAGAGACAGACAGAGAGAGAGAGAGAGAGAGAGAGAGAGAGAGAGAGAGAGAGAGGAGGGAGGGAGAGAAAAGAAAGAGGAGGGAGAGAGGGGAATCGAGAGAGGGGAGAGACAGAGAGAGAGAGAGGAGAGAGAGAGAGATTGAGATTGAGAGAGAGAGAGAATTTCCGTTTTCCCATGACCTCAGTCTGGTTGTATCTCCTTCTAGCCTGCTTTTCTCCTATCGCTACCCCAACCTTCACCCGCTCAGGGTTTCTTGGAAAGGTGAATAGTGAATAGAGGTCTGGGGAGGTGGCTCAGTCAGCAGTGTGTGGTGCACAAACATGAGGACCTGAGTCTGATCTCCAGGCCCACTTTTAAAAACCTGGGTGGGGAAGTGTTGCAGAAATGTCTTAGCAGGTAAAGGCTTTGATACACACAAACTTGACAACCTGACTTCAATTCCTAGGACCCACATAGTAGAATGAGAGAACCAATCCCTGCAAGTTGTCCTCTGACCTCCAGATGCTAAATGTGGCATGCAGTGCTACCCCACAATTAAAAGGTAATCTTAAAAGATTTAAAACAAGTGGTGAGGCATTCATGGCTGTGATCCCAGTGCTAGAAAGGCAGCTAATAGGGCCCTGGGCTAGGGAAAGAGACCCAAGCAAGGGACAGTTCTAAATTTCAGCACCACGGAGAGTGGCACCAGCCCTCTTTCCCTATAGAATCAAAGACAACAGCTTTCCTGTTCTCATACCATCTGCTTCCAAGCAGTCAGTTCCCATGTGACTTAGTTCTCCCCCTCCCCCTCCCCCTCCCCCTTCCTCTCCCTCTCCCCCTCCCCCTTCCTCTCCCTCTGCCCCACATTCTCTCAAATTTTTACATATTGTTTATTTATTTTTATTTTATTTGCATTGGTGTTTTACCTGCTTGTATGACTGTGTGTGTCCAGATCCCCTGGAACTGGAGTCAGACAGTTGTGAGCTGCCATGTGAGTGCTGAGAATTGAACTCAGGTCCTCTGGAAGAGCAGCCAGTGCCCTTAGCCACTGAGCCATCTCCCCCATCCTCTTTCTTTCCCTTTTCTTTGACAAAATTATGTATTTATTTTCAAGACATGATTTCTCTGTGTAGTCCTAGCTGTCCTGGAATTTGCATAGACTAGGCTGGCCTTGAACTTAGAGATCTGCTTTATTCTACCTCCCAATGCTCAGGGATTAAAGGGGTGCACCACCACCACCCAACTTAGTTTTCTTTCTTACACACACCCACACTTACTTAAGCCAGGTATCATGGCACCTGCCTTTAATCCCAGCACTTGAGAGGCAGAGGCAAGTGTATCTATTAATTTAAGGCCAGCCTGGTATATATAGTGAGTTCCAGTCTAGCTAATGCTACACAATGAGACTTGACTTTTAAAAACCCAAAAATGTATTTATTATTGTGTTTATGCTGTGGGTAGGGGCACACATGTCACTGCACACTTGTAGAGGTCAGAGGACAACTCTACCCAGTCAGTTCTCCCTGTCTACCTTTATGTGGGTTCCAGGAATCAAACTCAGGTCATCAGACTTACTCAGTATGTGCCCTTGTCTACTGAGGAATCTTGCTGGTCTGTGGCTCAGTTTTTCAAACGCTGAATTTTTAGTATACAATTAGCACCCAATCCATGTGCCCAAAGAGATTTATTCAAATAAGATATGCAAACCCAAAATTATATGAGATGTTCAGCCTCACTAGGTCATTAATAAGATACAAATCAAAGCACCATGAGACACCTCTTTATACCCATAAGTATGGCTGCAATTGAAAACAAAACATAACAAAACCATTTGCATTGGCAAGGCTCTGGAACTGCCGGAACTTTCATACACTGCAGGTGTGAATGGTGCAGCTGCTTTGGAAAACCATCTGGTAGTTGTTCAAGAAGCTAAATGGAGAGTTACCACTTGACCTAACAATTCTACTCCTGTGTCTATGCCCAAAGAATTTAAAACGAGTCTCCACGAGCGCTCATACATGAATTTTCACAGCAGCCCTATTCACAATAGGCTGTTCTAGTCTGCTTTCTGTGGCTGTGATAAACACCACAGCCCAAGGCAACTTATGGGAAGAAAGGGTTTATTTGGCTTCCAAGTCCACAACATGGTCCACCATCACTGAGGGGAGTCAGAGGCAGGAACTCAAACAGGAACCTGGAGGCAGGAACTGAAGCGGATAATTTGGAAGGAGCCTCCTTACTGGCTCGATTCCCGTGATGCTTGGAAAACAATGTGCTAAGTGTAAGAAAGCCAGACTCAGGGGGCCGCATAGTGTGTGCTTCGATGTTCTAATTCAAAGCAGGAAAAGTTTGGGCAGGGTGTGGCTAGGTTGATAAAATGCTTACTTATCAAGCACAAAGCTTAACACTGTAAAATGGATGTGGTTAACACAAGCCAGCACTCCAGAGGAGGAGGAGGCTGGAGGGTCAGAGGTTCAGGTTTTCCTTGACTACATGGTGAGTTCAAGTGCAACCTAGGCTACCTGAGACCTTGTCTAAAGAAGGGGGGGGTTTACAGAGGCATAAAGCAAACCAGATGAATGGTTTCCAGGGGCTGGAAGGGGACAGGTAACTGCTTAGTGAGCATGGGGTTCCCTTCCGTGGTAATGGGGCTGTTCTGAAGTAAATGGTTGTGATGGCTTCAGAGCACTGTGAGTGTACTCACTCTGTGAGTGTGCTCAATGCCACTGGATACTCCATGCTAAAATGGCTAATACATAGGTTATATCTGATATTTTACTATTGTAAAAGATGAGCCTGAACTGGAGAGATGCCTCAGCAATTATGAGCACTTGTTTCTCCTTCAAGGACCTGGGTTTGTTTCCTGGCGTTCACATGGTGCCTCACAACCATCCCTAATGCCAGTGACAAGAAATCTGATGCCCTTTCCTGAATTCCAAGGACACCAGGCACGCATACGCACAGGCAAAGCACTCATACACACAAAAAAATAGGTGTTTTGAAAGACAAACATTAAGATATCCAGAGGGGTCTTTAGACAGACTCCTTCAGGCTCAATTCCTCTTCCTCACATTGTGAGTCTGGGGTCTCTGTATTCTGGGTTAACCATCACCCCAAGAGCCTGATGCGTGTGTGGCTCACCCTAAAAGCTCCTCCTCTCCTGATCCCTTGCCCCTTGCAGATACTGGCTGAACTATGAGTCCTACCTTCTGGAGAATTCCGTGGAGACTGTGGACATGCCTTTTGTGAAGGCCTTGATCCGGAACATCAGCACAGACATCTCAGAAGACCTTCAGTTCTCTCTGATGCCCTCCCAGGTGACAAGCTTCCTGGTGGTGCTTCAGGCCTCTACTGGTGCCCATCAAAGCGTATCCCTCCTGAGTAGTATTCAGCATAGCTCTGTCACTCATCAACCGAGCCAGTAAAATAACTGAATGAGTGGAGCCTGGTGGTGGATTAGCCAGGGTGCTGGAAGATCCCCTCATTCCACTCTCCTTGATGTCCTCAGGAGGTCTCCTTTCTCCCAGAGGCCTTGGGTACTCATCTGGAAGATGAATCTCTGGCACCTCCAAGCCTACAGTGCCCATTAACCTCTCTGCCAGAGCACACATCTGGAGTCAGAGTAAGGGCACACATGGCCTCAGAGAGATTGAATGGGAGGGCTAGATTTACACTGGCCCAGATTCAAACTCCACCTCTGCTCTTACCAGCCATTGCCATCATGGGCACATTGCTTTTCTGACCCTCGGTTTTCTCACCTGTAAACAATGAGAATATTGCCCACTTTCAAGAGTATCAGAAGCCAGGCAGGACGATGCATACTCATTCTCCCAACACTCAGGAGGCAGAGGCAGGAGGATTGCTCCTGAGCTCCAGGCCAGCACAGGCTATACAGACATCCCCTATCTCAAAAACGACAAAACAAAAACATATCGGAAAGAGCATCTGAGTTAATATTCAAGGAAATGCTTGGTCCAGTGAGGGATCAGCAAGACCCCAGCCTCCCTGCAGGGATGAAGTTGAGGGCAGAGGTTCAGGCATCTGACTGAGTTGCTCCTCACCCAACTTTCTCAACTTTTATGATGCTGTGCCCTCTGGGTAGAATATGCACTGGCCCAAGGCATCACCCACACGCCCTGGTGACAAGATCTGAACTAGGAAGAGGAAACTGGGGCTTCAGCCCACTCTTAGCTCCCTGTTCCCACGAGCATGGATCCTTCTGAAGCAGGAAACTAGTGGGTGCAGGCTGACGCCCCAGGGTACCAGGAGGTCAGAGACTAGACGAGGCATGCCCGGTGATCTCTGGGGAGGTTTGTTCTAACGTTCTAGCTATTCTCTGTTGGGCAGGAAGGACTTCACAACCAAGATGAACATGAGTCCCTTGTCTTCGCACTGCTTCCCCTGGCTTCTTTCCAGGACACCCCGCACTGGCGATCCCCACACTTAAAAGCAGAGCAGGGCTGCAACAACACAGTCACGCTCAGCTGGTCCCTGTGACAGGGAAACTGGGGCCCCATTGTTGATGCCTGTCCAAGGGCCCAGCCCATGAAGAGAAGAGTCTGGACTGAGCCAGGTGTTCTGACCCTCACCCCAGAACTAAAAGTCCTCAGATGCTGCCCCTTCACCTGGCATGCGGCAGCTTCCTTCCCAACCGGGATAGTAGAAGCACCTGAGATGGAACTGGAATCCTCCGGGTAAGATGGGGGCTTCTGGGTCCATGGTTGCAGATCCCAAGGCAGCTGATGCAGGGTGAGGACCAGCCCACTGACAGAGTCCGACTTCCCAAGAGCCTATTTGGAGCCCTCCTGCCTGGCAACAGGTCTGCTGTCCGGTTGGCCATAACTGTTCTGAACATTGGTTCAGGGAATGTCTTCAAGGTAAGAGACTTGCTGGGAGCTCAGGAAGCTGCAGTTAAATATTCAGTGGGCCAGGGTTCCTGAGATGGTCTCTACAGCAGCTGGGTCATCCAAGAACCAGATCTAGACTGAAGACTATTCTGATTTCCACGGCACCTCTTGGCTGTGTATGAAGGTCATGTGTGTGTGTCCTTGCACATGCATAAACACACATGCCTTTCTGTACTCCCGAGAACATGTAGTCAGGTGTGCCCAGACATGACTATCTACATGGGCAAACATGCTCTCCCGGGACAATGCATGCCAGACTGCGCTCCTGAGGCATGCATCCACCCACATAAGCTTAGACATGTGCACTCTTGGATCTGGGTGCACCCATCCTTCCACTTGGAGGCATCCACTGCATTTACCCCATTTCCTGGCTGACCTTAGCCGCAAGCTCTTCCAATTTAGAAATGTCAGGGGTTGGCTTTCAGCAAGGTGATAATGGAGCCTAGAGTGCAGCCAGCCTAGCCCAGCCCAAGCATAGGCAACAGCAGGAAGAGGGCTGCCTATGCCTCTGGGTCCCTGGATCCCGGTCCCCTAGCCTCAGACTTTGACTGCAGGCGAAGGGGTTTCCTAGAGTTCCCTAGACCCCCAGCTAGGGCAGGTAAAGTCAGCCCATCCTACAACCCAGCCTTCTGCCACTCCCTCCCAGGGCCCCAAGCTCCTCCGGGACCGCGGCAGCAGCGTGCTGAACAACCGGATGGTAGGCTTGAGCGTGGGCCAGAGGCACACCACCGGACTGTCGGAGCCTGTGGAGATTACCTTCTCTCACCAGCGTCAACTACCTGTGAGTCTTCTGCCCAGGGTTGGCAGTTATTGTGGGGCACACTGCGCATGAGCTCTGAGAAGCCATGCGTGGGACCTTGCACACTCTACCCAGAAGAAACTATCAGGGTCATGCACAGTGATGCCCAAAGACATCTGTCTGCCCTGCACATGTGAACACACCCCCACCACACCCTTCTACCTCCATGTTAGTAAATGTGTGGGGACATGCTTTCCACACCCACCAGGCAATGATCCTGAAGACATTTGTGCACAGACAGGCAAAGCCTCTAGTGCCGTATTTTTTGTGTCTCCCACATGCACAGCAACAGTCCAGGGAGTATCAACTCTCAGGGAAGCAGTCAGTGTCCCCATGTAGCCTACAGAGGTCATCCTCTTAAGACACATGTCTCCTGCGAACGCCCTGTCTCCTCCCCGTCTTCCCCTTCCTTCCTCTCCTGACTTGGCCTCTCTGATTTCAGAATATGATCCTTACTTGTGTATTCTGGGATGTGGCTAAAGGTAGGTCTGGAAGACTTTTCTAGAATGAGGGAAAAGGTGAGGGTAGAGGTGGGCCCTCCCTTCCCTTGTCTCCTCCAGGTTCCTCTGCCCTTACCTTTGTGTGGCCCACAGGAGACTGGGATTCCCGAGGCTGCTCCACAGAGCTCGGGGATGAGAGGACCACGTGCCGCTGCGACCACTTGACCTTCTTCGCCTTACTGCTGGTAACAGCCCATGCCATCCTGACCCCCCCCCCAGAGGTGCAGCCTCTGTCCCTGAGAGGCTGGCTGGCTGGCTGGGGTTTGGGAGATGTGCGGGCCTGGCCTCTCAGTGGTGTGATCTGGACTTGGGGTCATCTCCAGAGGCCGATCTTGGACCTGCCCACAGCACAGATTCTCACTCGCATCTCCCAAGCAGGCTGCGGAGTCTCCATGATCTTCCTGGCCTTCACCATGGTTCTCTATGTTGCCCTCAGGTGAGTGAGCCCACCGCCTTTCCCTCCTGCCCTCAGGGAGGAGCTGTAGGAGCATCTTTGTCCTGTGGCCTCATGCAGCCATCTTCTCTGGCCCTTAGTCCTCTTGCTTACCAGATGGGACTAGGGCTTGAAGTTAAAAGTGGGGGAAACTCGATTCAGATTGGCCAACAGGTGTGGCCTCCAGGCTGGGCTAGAACTAGAGGCTCCAGCAGAGACCACAAGGGTTGGCCCCTAACTTTCACAGCTTTTCTCTATCCCTTGTTAGGATGCCAATTTTACCCTTTCCTCAGGAACTGCCCTTTCGATATTCAAGCAAGGATGAAGCTCCAGAGTGGAGGGCTTTAAAAGCAAACATTGTGAAATAATTTTAGACTAACTGGAAACTGCAAAAATAGCACAGACAGTCTGTGGTTCCTTCCTGGAACCTTCCCAACTACCATGTTGTATGTAGCTGTAGAGCATCATCAAAGCCAGGAAGTTGTCAGTGGCAGAGCAAGGTTAAGTAGTCTCAAGACTTCTTCAGTTCCACTGTTTTAGACATCATCAATGTATGCATACATGTGTGCATGTGTGTGTGCATGTGTGTGTGAGAGTGCATGAATGCATGTGTATGTGTGCTGTGAGTGCATGTGTGTGTGAGAGTGTGTGCATGTGTGTGAGAGAGTGTGTGCATGTGTCTGTATGAGAGAGTGCATGCATGCATGTGTATGTGTGCATGTGAGTGAGAGTGTGTGCATGTGAGTGCATGCATGTGTGCATGTGTGTGTGAGAGAGTGTGCATGTGTTCATGTGTGTGAGAGAGAGTGTGCATGCATGCATGTGTGTTTGTGTGCCACATCCACACAGAAATGGGGACATGATTGGCAAGCCCCTGTCTAAATGAAACTACATAGCCCAGTGTTCAGAGTATTTGTAATTGCAGTAGAAGGTTGAGTATTAGCCAGGCATGTGGTCCCTGTGGGCACAGGACTCTGGGGTTCACACTCCTGAGATACTGGGTGTTCTATGTGTGTGCATGTTTATCTCATCAATACCTAGTTGTTTTAGGGTCTGACTTTGATCACAAGCCAATGACTTATTGGGTCACTATGGTCACAGGGTAGAATACACACAGTCAAGCCATTTGGCTACTCTTGGATTTCACTGACAAGGTATTAGCCACCATTTTCCTAGTTCCTATGGCTGAAGATGGGGAAGAGTGCCCCTTCAGGAACACACAACTTCCCCAGCAAGGAACAGGCATGGGACAGACACAAGGGACAGTCGGGCTCTGGCCAAGAACCTCTCATACCTGCTGCCTGAGGGATAAACCTCTCCCAGCCTTTCCTGACCCCAGCTCCTGGAGGCCAACCTCAGAGCCCACCTGGAGCATCCTTTCCATTTCCCGTCTCTCCGGTCCAAGGACCCATCCCTACTACCCTCCTCATGTGCCTCCGTGCCCCAGGCACCAAGCGGCCCTGGGCCTCAGCCCTAGTGAGCCGCATCTATGTCTTCCCTCCCCCTTCCCTACCCTGGAAAGTATTGGCATAGACAGTCCCTAGCCCAGTGCCATCCTCAGTGAGCTGAGTGTACCTTGCCAGCTAGCCATGCTGCCGGATCCTTGAGCCTGCAGTACTAGAAGAAATTTATGCCAGCTCCCAATACTGAGCTTAGCAGCTCAGGTAGACCTTGCCTCTTATCTCCACTCCAGAAAACTCTAGGCTCTGTTTCTTGAGTGGGAGCCCTTCTGGACTTCGTTTGCTAGGAATTTAGAGTGGAGAGAAGCCCCACAGGAAGCAGGGAGCACTGGGTGCAGACTCTGGGACCCCCAGCAAGTCTCTGGCCCCCTCTGAGCCTTGCTCACTGCTACATTCTAAGCCTCATCCATCCCCACTCACCCAACTAACATACCCAGAGCCCTCCTGCCCACTGGTCAGGGCCCCGAAGCCAGCTTGGGTGGATCCCCTGTGGCAAGGGGTGGCAGAGAATTTCACTGTGCTTCTGGGAAATGCCTGCATGGTCAAGCTGGAAGACATGAGAAAACAAACTCTGTCAAGTGTCACAAGTTCCACGGTTTAGCCAAGGAAGGTGTCAAAGGGTGAGTGAGGCTGGCAGGACCCAGCACCCACACAGTTCACAGAGCCATGAAAGGGCTCGTGGATTTGAACCTAAAAATGCTTGCATACGAACCACTGGCAAAGGCGGAAACTGGATGGTCAGACAGGAGCTGGCCATGCGGATGGCAGCAGCTGGCCGTGGCATGGAACTGGCAGGGGCATAGACCAGTCTGGGCACCGCATGCAAGCTGTGGCTCCCTGAGGCTGCTCCCTGGCCCTTCTTTCCCAGGCTCTCCCTGCAGAGGTTCAAGTCTGAAGATGCCCCTAAGATCCACATGGCTCTGAGCAGCAGCCTGTTTCTCCTGAATCTTACCTTCTTGATCAATGTGGGGAGCAGCACTCAAGGCTCCCCGGCTTCCTGCGGGGCCCGGGCTGCCATCTTTCACTACTTCCTGCTGTGTGTCTTCACCTGGATGGGCCTGGAGGCTTTCCACCTCTACCTGCTGGCCATCAGGGTCTTCAACACCTACTTTGGACGCTATTTCCTGAAGCTGAGCCTGCTGGGCTGGGGTAGGCATGGATGGGCTAGAGGAGTAGGAGGGAGGTTGGAGGGCTGCAGAGGAAGAGCCCAAAGCTTGAGGGATGGAAGGCTGCAGGAACTGGAGATGAGTTCACCCAAGGGAACACTGGTGATGGCCCCTTCTTCCCCCTGTCCCAAGGCCTACCTGCTCTTGTGGTTATTGGTGCTGGGAGTAGCAACAGTTACGGTATTTACACCATCCGCAACCAGGAGAACCGCACCTCGCTGGAGCTGTGAGTGGGGCCGTGGGGACCGGAGGATATGGGGGCCTTTGGTTTCATAGGAGGGAGAGAGGAAGGGAAGGTGGCCTTAGGAGGAGAACAGCGATGTTGAGGACAGTCAGATCCAGCTGGCTTGTGGCACAGGAGGTAAAGGGAAGTCTGGAGTCAGAAAGACAAATAAGGGAGGAGGCCCAGGAAAGTCAGAGGCAGTAGGGGTGGGGGAGCATCTTCTTGGTCACCGAGGATCAGTCAAGGAAGCTCCCTGGGTTTCCCCACCAGGCCCAGCGACTACCCTCCTCCTCCAGGTGCTGGTTCCAGAAAGAGCCTGCCCTTTACGCTACTGTCCATGGCTACTTCCTTGTCAGCTTCCTCTTTGGGGTTGTGGTGCTGGCTCTGGTGGCCTGGAAGATCTTCACTCTGCCCAGTGTCACAGCGGGCAAAGAACAGGGGCACACCTGGAAGTCGGTCTTCACCATCCTGGGCCTCTCCAGCCTGGTGGGCATGACCTGGGGCCTGGCTGTTCTCACACCCCTGGGCCTGTCCACCATCTACATCTTCACCCTCTTCAACTCGCTGCAAGGTGAGGCTCCAGGGAGGCTGCAGGCTGTCTTGTCAGCACCAGGGGGACCTGGGGATCAGGGGAAGGGGTACTTTCCAAGAAACAGGAGTCCACAGAAACTAGCTCAAGTCAAAGGCACTGATTTTAGATATCCAAGACTCTTGTGGGATCCTGGCAGCAAGGGTGGCTGGTGTCACAAGGGCCACATGAATCAAAGCAGGTGTCTCCACTTTCAGCTCTGCAGCTGAGTGTTTTCTCCTATCTAGCCTCTGTGGCAACTCCATCTCTGTGTTTTCCAAAATGGCTGCCTAACATGGCCGCTTCAAGCGTATGCACTCTGAGTCAGATGACTATCTCTAGTTCTAACCCTTCCTAACTAGGAAGGCAGGGTCATGTGGTTTGATGTGACAGGACATAGAATCCTAAAGAAGCTTTCAATGCGCTAGTTATCTTGGCTCACATTTGACGAGTGCAGTCCGCTATGGAGGGGAAGGCGTGATGTAGCTGGTCACGTCACACCAGTGTCAGGGAATGGAGAGAGACAGGCAGGTGCTGGCTCTCAGCTCTCTATTTTTAAGCTTTAAAATCATGTTCATTCATTTGTTTGTCCATGCATGCATGCATGTGTGGAGGTCAGAGGACAACCTGCGGGTGTCGGTTCTCTCCCTCTACCATGTGGTTCCCAGGAATTGAACTCATGTCAGGTTTTCTGGCAAGTGCCTTCACCCACTAACCCACGTCACCAGATGTAGGCGTGCTAGACTAAGAATGGTGCCCCCTGCTTTAGGGTGGGTCTTCCCACCTGGATTAACCTGATCTAAACTCCCTCACAGACACACCTAGAGGCTTCTCTCATAGATGATTCTAGATCCTGTCAAGGTGACAGTCAATGTTGACTACTGTCCCACCATCCAACCAGACAGTCAGTACTTCTGATCCTCATTCATCTCTGAGTGAGAACAGTCCTCCGTCCCTCCCTCACCCCATGCTTCATGATGAATAAGTGCATGAATGGGACCCAGGAGGTCTTCAACACACTGGCATATCACCAGTGTCCCAAGCCAAAGGCCTGGCTCCCTCTGGAGAGCACGCATAGCCACTTGTTCAGCTGAAATGGAAAGGGGACGCACTGAATAGCTATCCTGGAGGAGCAGGAGAAACCGCATCTTCTGCCCTGACTCCAGGGTGATGCCAGTCTTAGCGTTATACAGGAAGGAGAAAAAGACAAGGCAAGGCAGGACCTGGTTAATCGTTACCTCAGGACAGTTATCCAGGGAACTGTCTGCAATGGCTCCTGCCTTGGGGTAGCTTCAACTTTTGTTCACTTGTTAGAGCTGCTGTTCCAGGAATCCAAGGTGTCTACAGGACAGGAAGACTTGGAAAAAGGACAGGTCAGAAAGTCGAGGTGGGCATGTTAGGTCTTCATGTGTTGGGCAGTGGCTGTAGATGACCAGCACTGGTCTCCCAGGAACAGGACCCTGCAAAAGCTGCTGGTTAATAATCTGCTGATCACATCAGCCTTCAGGGAGGATCACCGCGTTAGACAAACACTCCTTAAATGTTTAGCATGTCTGCGTGCACAGTTGAAGCCAGTCTGACCCAGGTTAAGGTAGCGAAGGGGAGACATGCCAAACTTTTACCCTGCTTTTAGTTACAGGTGGACATCTGTTGGCTCGGGTGAAGATCCGAGCCTTTAGCCAAGACGCCTCTAATTTTTGCAGGCACTATATTGACTGCAGTAGAAATCAAGGACCACAGACACTTAAAGGCCCTAGCTCTAAGTTTTATGCATGTGTGTATGTGGGGTGTGGGCAAAGGTCGTTAAACTAGAAAGGGACTATGGAAAGGAAAGTGAGGCTTAAAGGAAGAGGGTGGGAGAAAGTGATGGGATGCATAGGACACATGGAAGTGGGCGGGGACAGCTGGGGGACAGAGAGCTGGAGGAGACCAACCGGGACAAACTATGGATGAGAATGAGGACCTGGAGAGGTGGCCCGGTGGCTGAAAGCACTGGCTGCTCTACCAGAGAACCCAGACTGGGTTCCCAGCACACACATGGCAGCTCACAGCCATCTGTAACTCCAGTTCCAAGGGATCCAGTGTTCTCTTTTAGCACTAGGCACACCTGGGAGCACACTTACGGGCCAACACAACATTAATGTGCATAAAATTTAAAAAAATCTTTAAAGCAAAAAATATTACAGTAAAATCTACTTTTTGTATGTTAACTTAAAAAATAAATGGCGAACTGGAGAGATGGCTCAGTGAGTAAGAGCACTTGCTGCTCTCAGAGAACCCAGGTTCAGTTCCGAATACCCAAATGCGAGATTCACACCCATCTATAATTCCAGTTCCAGTGACTCTGATACCCTCTTTGTCTTCTACAGATACCTGGTTCACATACATATATGCAGGCAAAACATACATATAAAAATAAATCTTAAAGAACAGCACACACACACACACACACACACACACACACACAATTGTTTCAGGGCCATCTGAGATACTCCCCAGATAAAATAATCATTAGTTCACATTTAGAAAATCCTAGAGATTTGTAATTAGGAAGAGAGGCATCTTGAAGTTGGAGATGGCATCATTATTCTTTTTTGTTTGTTATGTTTTGAAGACAGGGTTTCTCTATGTAACAGCTCTGGCTGACCTGAAACTCACTTCGAAGACCAGGTTGACCTCAGATTTACAGAGATCTGCCTGCCTGACTCTGCCTCCTGAGTGCTGGGATTAAAGGCGTGAACCACCACTGCCCAGCTGACATCACTACTCTTGCGTGGGCTACCTTAATATTGAAGCCTTAGACTCACTCTGATGAGTCTAAGTTATTCAGTATTACCATCCTCCTCCATGCACAACAGAGTCCTTGGTACCTTTTAACTTCTCAGGATTGTATAGTTTTCATTATAAATTGTCTTTAAACACACAGTTTGTACAGTAGAAGTTCTTTACAGCAGGACTGTAGGGGAGCCCAGTGTGGCAGTAGCACTAGTTTTATATATCTAAAAATACCTCTTCCTTTTCTGTGGTGGACGTGTGTGCAATTTATTTCAAGGCCAATGTTTGGGGTCTCTAAGGTTTTTATTTGCCTCTCTTCCAGGGATAGGTTTCATTTTTACCTAATTCTTTCATTAGGCGCTTGGATGTTTAGAGTGGAACCCCTTCTGTGCCGCGGCCTGTTGTGGGCTCACTGAAACCCTCTCTTCACCACAGGTGTCTTCATCTTCTGCTGGTTCATCACCCTCTACTTCCCGAGGCAGAGCGCCACGGCCTCCTCTTCCGGCACTGCCCGCCTGGACCAGGCCCACTCCGTGTCACAGGAGTAGGAGGCTGCAGTTCACGCTGCTCTCACCTCCCGATGGGTTGCGTGGCCTCGGACAGCTCCCTACTTCCTTCTGCCTTCATCGCCTTCTCCGTACAGGGTGTCTGAGGAGGGAGAGCATGGAGACCAGGCTGAACCACAGGGCTCCAAAGCTCCCACCCAGAGAGCTGGATAGATTGATCGCTTGAAGAGGACACTGGTTCAGTTCCCAGAACCCACATGGAGGCTCACAACTGTCTCTATGGTTCCAGGGGATCCAACACCCTATTCTGGCCTCCAAGGACACAGAAAGTGTTGTTTATACACATGTGCGTACACGTAAAATAGAAATTTAAAAGCATATGGAAAAGCTTCCGTTCAGATATGTTCATGGGTCCAAAAAGCTACAGAAGGAGATTTGTGGGAGACCAAAGTCCCTATTAGCCCAAGAACCGCCCCTCCAGCAGAGTGTCATCTTCCCCCTGTTGCTATGGAAACATCTCTACAGCTAAGCAGCTGTTTTTAGCCATGAACCACCTCTCATCTCATTAGGAGCCTGAGCCAGGGGAAACTTGGTGAAACCCCTCGAAGAAACTCCAGTCTTTCCCCTCTCCCCCTACAATCCCACCTTATAGCTGCCTCTCCGCAACCCAGGGACATTCACAGGCTGACTGTTCTATATGTGCCAGGTGTGCAGAAGACTGAAGGTTTCTTTGGGGGCTTTGACGATCTTCTACCTATTATACCCTCATCTTTGCTCCCTAGTTGGGGTTCATTCTAATTGCAATTACTGCCCCATTGAGGGTTGAGGTCCTTCAGAGAAAGCCACTCAAATGGTGAGCTTCCAGGAACACCTCCACCCACCCCACGTGACTGCCAGCTGAGGTCTGGCTCTGATCTGCTGCCATTGTTGGGGCATGCTTGCTCCGTCCACATTAGTGCATGTGGTCCAGGGGGACAAGGGAGAAAAGGCGACCCTTCCTACAGTGTCTGTAGTCCTATCCGCAGGGACCTGAACGGCCTTGCCCACCATTTCAACCCAGGCCTGGCCATGTTAAGGGAGTAATTGTCACGTGGATTTCAATAAACAAACCTTCATTGGCTGAGCAAATGGATGGATGTGTTTGCATTAACCCGACAGGGCTCCCCGAGAAGGGCTTGCCTTAGGTGTGATTCAGGCTAAAGCATGATGCCTTCAGGGCCTTGGCTTTGATTCCTCAACCACAAGTGAGCGTCTTTCTTCTGTGGTTTCAGCAGCCTCGAAGGAGACACAGGCCAGCACCGCCATCTGCGGCCTGGGGAGTTCCCTTATCCTTGACTTTGTGGAAGAAAGGGATTCCTGTAGAGTCAGTGTGCAGCATTTTTTTGAGAGGGGCGGGGAGGGAGGGAGGGAGAGATTTAAAATATACATTTAAGCTTTGAGCCAGAAGAAGAGGCACTCGGGGGAGGACTAGGACACACCTGAGTCATGAATGTGGCTCCTCAAGGTGCCTCTGGCTTCATTGTCCTAAGAGCTGCCATCAATACATGTGTGATTTGAGAGGCTCTCAAGTTACAACTCAAGCTGTCGGTAAAGAATTGCCTTTTCTTCTTCCTTCGGATAAATGCGATTATAAGGTTTCTCCAGCAATGCCTTGTAGGATGGTTACCTGATCAGAGGGGTCACAGGCTAAGATGTGTCTGTCACTGCAAATGGGGTTCCTAGAAAGCTGCAGATTTCTAACTGGGGAAGGAAAATCGCCATATATGCTCAGGCCTGGAGCACAGTTCATTGCTAGGTTAACATTCTTTGACACCTCTCTTTGAAGAGAATAACTGTGCTGTGTGGGCCGGCAGTCTTCACAGCAAATGTTCCCTGTGCTGGAATGCTTGACTCAAACTGTCAAGACTCTTCAATCAGACTCCAGGGTGAGGAGCTCCTTCCCTCCCACATCTCCTTAATTCCCCCCTCTTTCTCCAGTCTCGATGAGAAGCAAAAGCAGCAGAAATAATAGACAGAGCCAAATATGGTGGGGTAGCCCTGTAATCCCAGCACTCCGGAGGCAACGGTGGGATCATCGTAAATTCAAGGCTAGCTTAGTATACATAGTGAGACTTTGCCTCAAAAAACAAAACAAAACAAAATAATAGCAATGTTCGGGCAGGGCTAATCTTTATTATTGACTGTATATGCAATCAACTAAAATCAATATATAAGGGATTTTCTATGGATTTTCTAGGTCACGTTAGTTGAAGCAGGGAGTTTCACCCTAATGAGTGGCGCCTTCTGGTTCCTGATAAAAGGACAAGGAAAGAAGGAAGTTGGCATTTTGCCTGCTTGCCCTCACTCTCCCTGGCAACTTCATCCGTCCTGTTGCTGCGGCATTCTTTAGCTGATGCTAGAACTAGTTTCTCTGGGACTCCAATGTAGACTGAAGAGCATCAACTCTCTAGGAACCGCCTGGCCCTCATCATCAAATGGGACTGCTAAAATATCCAGCCATTTCCAGATTCTCGGCCTAACATAGGTATTATAGAGTTCCCTCCCTGTCCTGAGAGGATTAAAGGATGTGGTGAAAAGAAATTGCCAGCCCTGATTCCTAGCAACCCTCCCTCCCCTCCTCTACTCCACTTAAAGAATGACTGATCACAGGGCGTTGGTGGCGCACATCTTTAATCCCAGCACCCAGGAGGCAGAGGCAGGTGGATCTCAAGTGAGTTTGAGGCCAGCCTGGTCTACAAAGCAAGTTCCAGGACAGCCTCCAAAGCCACAGAGAAACCCTGTTTGAAAAAATAAAATAATAATAATGATAAAAAGGAAGACTGGCCAAGGATGCTGGGATGTGGAAAGGGAATCAGAGAGGGATGACAGCCTGTCCCCTCAGAGTCCCTCCACAGGCTGGGGCGAAGCCAGGGTGGCACCTTCTGGGGGTGCCAGCTCCTCCCAGGACGATTCCTGGAGTTAGGAAAGCACATGTATGCAATCCCAACATCCAAGAGCATGTGGAATTCCTGGGCGCTCCATGGCCAACTTTTAAAGTGTATTACACTATAACAAGCATGCGGGAACAGGTGCATTTGCTCTATGTTCTCATTAAATAACTTAACTTTCAAAGATATGAAATTCAACCTAGAAGCCCCTCAACTGAAGAGTGGATAGAGAAATTGTGGTACGTTTACACAATGGAGTGCTATTCAGCGGAAAAAAACAATGGAATCTTGAAATTTGCAGGCAAATGGACGGTACTAGAAGAAACCATCCTGAGTGAGGTAGCCAAGTCACAAAAAGACAAACATGGTATGTAGCCACTCATATATGGATTTTAGACATGAATCAGGGGAGTGCCAGACTACAATCCCACTGCCAGAGAGTCTGGGAAACAGAACCTTCATCCAGCAACTGATGGAAGCAGAGGCAGACACCCACAGCTAAACACTGAAACTCCTGGAATCCAGTCACAGAAAGGGAGAACTGATGGGCAAAGGAGTTAAGACTGTGCTGGTTTAACCCACAGAAACAGCTGACCTGAACAAGGGGGAGCTCATGGACTCCAGATTGATGGCTGTGTGGAAAGCATGGGACTGACCCAGACCCCCTGAATGTGGATGTCAGTGAGGAGGCCTAGGTAATCTATGGGGCCTTGGGTAGTATTTATCACTGGCGTACAAATAGACTTTGAGTGCCCATCCTACAATGAGGGATGCTCTCTCAGCCTGGACTCTTGTGGGAGGGCCTAGGCCTTGACCTGGATGAAATGACAGAGTCTGAAGAGCCACCATGGATGGCCTCACTGTCCCTGGGGATCAGAGTGGAGACTGGGTGGGGGACTGGGGGACCTGGTGGAGAGGGCGGGGGAAGAGAGGAAGGGAGAGGGAGCTGGAATTGACATGTGAAACAAGCTTGTTTCTAACTTAAATTTTTAAAAAAGGAAGAGAGAAAAAAAACAAAGACATGAAATTCTTCCCAAATTAACATGGCAATCCATCTGTGATTTTCCTGAGGCTGAGGCCTGGCATCTCACCGATCAGGCCATGCTCTGTGCAGCCTCCCTCCCCCCAGGTTCAGCTAACAAGGAGCTCCAATATCCAGACCACCCACATGGTGGAAAGAGAGAATTGACTCCCACAAATTGTCCTCTGACCTTAAACATGTGCTTCCACCCTTCAATAAATGAATATATTAAAGAAATAATAAAACGAAAATAAAGGATCGAATCTGTACCCCCTTCCCTTGCAGCCTATAAATCAGAGGTAACCTGGCATAAGGCTAACATATTAACCACACAATGTGGGACCAGGCTCCCTCAGGAACCTCTAAAGAGTGGGGAGCCCCCTTTGTCTGGGGGGAAATCCCTTCAGAAACCAGCTGCATGCTATCTGAGGTGTTAACAAATCTCTTACCCTGGCGGACAGTTGGTTTCAGTCACCTTTTCTTTAATCTCCATATCTTCACTGATTTAAATTAACACATTAAAAAATAGGTATTCACTTTACCTGTATATGACCAAGTGTATGCAGGAACCCATGGAGGCCATAAGAGGGCGCTGGCTCCCCTGGAACTGGAGTTAGTCTGTCCTTGTAAGTCACCAACAGTAAGAGCTCTTAACTAATGAGCCATCTCTCTGGCTCCCTAATAACAGTTTTCTGTTTACTATTATTTGTTCTGTTTTGTTTGAGATGGGGCCCATGTAGCTCAAGCTGACCTTTAACTCTGAACCTTCCCTTCCCGAGCGCCAGCTAGAACCACTTGGAGTAGCTCGTGAGCCAGCAAGCTATCACACACGGTGCAGAGGTGGACAAGGAAGGTCTGCCCCCAGCAGGGTGCAGACGAGGCCCAGCACCCCTGGTTGTCCTCTGACCTCCGTACTCTTGGACACACACATGTTCTCCATCTCTTGGAATGTGATGTCCTTTGCCACCTCAGGACTCTGCCCACAGATGGTCAGCCCGTAAATTTCCAGAACTGTGAGCTAAATATGTAGCCCCAGACACATCATCCCAACACAGCCCAGACAGAGGTGGTCACACACAGTGTGGGGTTGTTCTGCCAAGCATGTCTACAAGGAGGGGGTAGATGAGAGTTTAAGGAATTTAGCTGCCTACAGAACAAGTTTAAACGTGTTTAGAAAACTGTCTTGTCACTTCATGTCTCAGGAAACAGCCCCTGCGCCCTCATCAATGCCCAGACCTCTCTAACCCCTCTGAAACTCTAAACCCCAAATAGACTTTTCTGTAAGTTGTCTTGTTTGTAGTATTTTGCAAGAGCAATGGAAAAGTAAATACAGTGATTGTGTGTGTGGAGTGTCAGTGCTGTGAAAGTGTGTGTGTGTGTGTGTGTGTGTGTGTGTGTGTGTGTGTGTGTGTGTGTGTGAGACTGCAGAGCAAATCCATGACCTTCCATTGCTGAGGTAAGTGTTCTACCATTGACTAACATGCTCAGTTCCTCTTTAGATGTTTAGAAGAAACTGGGTTGCTAATCTAACAGATCAGTTTCTGCACCCACCAGAATGCCTCCTAGACCACGGATGATCTACTACACTAAGAGGCCCAGGTTAACCTAAAGCACACAGTCGGGCAGCCTGCTTCCCTAGATCCCTCACTGACTTCCGGATGTCTTGGTGAAGGCTACCTCTCCTGTGGCAGGGCAGAGGTAGACTGACAGTGTTTAGACGTTTACTTCCTGAGAGGAGCCTTGGTCTGTAGCCTTTTCTAACTCCCATGGTGTTAATAATCCACCTTGAGCTTTATAAGCTCTTGCTCTGACATCTCTGGTTGGGAAGCTGAACCCAGGGCAATTTCAGGAAACTACATTTCCCAGAAGCCTCCTCTCCCAGGGCCTGCCCTCTGTTGTTACCGTGGAGACAACTAACAGATTGTAAGACTGTTCTTGGAGGGTAAGGAGGGAGCTGGGAAATGGGGATGGCATGACCTACTTGAGATAGGGAGGAGGAACGGGGAGGCGGGTGTGGGGGGCCGTCACAGAGTACTTGGGGGGTCTTCCAGCCCTGGCCTGTGTGATGAAAGCTTGCGGGCCTGTTTGGGGGGAAGGGGGAGGAGCCTGGGAAGAGGCTCCAGGAAGACACTATGGATGAGTCAGTCTTGAGGACTGCAGCCTGCAGGAGGAGTA